TTTGGACTAGGGTGGTGGGGGGTTAGTATACAGTTTGGACTAGGGTGCTCTTTGAACTCTTAGAAAAACATCAGTATCTTAGAGAAATGTTAAGAAGTTTACAGATTACCCATGATGTAAGTGTACTGAGTTTGTTTTTTAGGCACTTGGATTAATAGTGATTTACTTTAATTTATCTCTGAATATAAGGTGCTTGTTCCTTTTCTTATAATCTTTTTGTCATATCCACTTATTTCATATAGGAAACTAATTGTCTCAGCTTCTTGCTGCCACCACGGTGGAACGTTTTTCAGCATATCATCTTTTACCAGTTTCTTCAGTGGAAGTGCTAGCAGCCAATCTCCTGATTACTTTGCATTCCTTTGCTTTTTTATTGTGTTATCTTTGTGTTCTTTCCTTTTTTCCTCTCTCTCCTCTTTTCGTTGTTTCCTGTCATACTTTCCTTCTGTTTATTCTCCATATTCTCTTCTCTTGTTTGACCTTTTTTAATTGCTTCTGTTTTCCTTTTTTTTTTTATCCCTTTAAGTTAGCATCCCTTTTTCTTTCTTTTCTGGTCTCCTAAGGCCGCCTAGCACTGAACCTTGGTGGCAGAATGGTTAAGTACCATAGTTGTCTGGTAATCTAAAGGTGGTTTGAACTACCAGCCAACTCCACAGGCGAAGGAGGTGGCACTTTTCTTTCATGCACATATTTGGAAACTCTATGGGGCAGTTCTAACCTATTCTGTAGAGCTGCTGTGAGCTAGAATGGACCTGACAGCAATGGATTTAGTGTGGAACTTTTTGGTTTAAGGTAACTTAAATTTCAGGAAGAGCACTATTCTAGACCTTCATTCCAGAACTGGCAGTTTGGCTGTCTTGCTTGAACTTGTCTCTGTGATCCTTCTTGAGCCTCACTAATTTTCTCATTAATAAAATGAATGCAATAACACCTACTTGGTTGTCTTAATGGTTCTTCCTTATAGCAAATGAGATTAAATACAGCATAGGTTAAAGCTCAATCCCACCACTAAGTAGTTGGCTTTGGGTAAGCTATGAGCTCTCTTGGAACCCATTATGAAATAGAAATAAGAAGGTCACTGTAAGGATTAGAAATACACAATGCTTCGTACATAAGTGTAGTAAGGTCATAGAATTCATATAAATAGAATTACTTTGAAATTAGGTGTTTCACAAATGTAGCATATTACTCTGCATCATAGTTTTTTAGTTGTTCATACTCCTCCTCCTTTACCCTCTTATTTCTCTTACTTCATCCATATTCGTTTGTTCTTATCATCAAGTGTACTTTTGTCAATTTTTATTCTTCCTCCTTGACAGCTTC